ACCACTATAAAATCGTTCGGAGTAATAAAAAACGTCTTGAAAATCACGGGACGCTTTTCGCATTAATAACGAGAAGGCGTTTGATAACACTTCGAAAAGAGGAGAAGAATCGGGCAAAGGACAGAGATAAGGGAATGTTCGATAACTTACCGCGCTATCTTTTCATGTTACCACCGTATATGTAACGAACAGATATTTGTGAAATTTCTTTAGTCTAATCTTCCGCAAAAATGTACTTTTAATCGATAAGCTTGTTTCAATACTAACTAATTTTTTTAAAATTTTCAAACAATGTTACATGCTTTTATAAAGTTTTCAATAGAGATTATAGAATTATTCAAACATTTCCAATGTGATTTTACACGATTTTAGTAAAATTGAAAGATTTCAGTGAAATCTAATTGCAAGTTTCTATTAACCATAAAATATTAGTATCTTGTACATTATTATACATGGTATCTCATTATTTATCAATATTGTATTAGGGATACCTATATTCCAGTTAAATATATTGACATTTAGTGCGCTTATTGTTAAATTATATTATAAATTAAAACTAGTATCAATTTTTAAATAAAATAAAATTTTGTACAGTATCAGAAAAAGAGAAAAATTACTTATGCCTCTAATATTATTGAGAGATGTTTACGTTAGAGTATCAGTTACAAGAGATATGTTCCATTTCCAGACTTTCAATACTGACTCTGTATTATAGAGAAAAATTGAAAAGAAAAATCAGACACAATAAAATAGTATGAGCTAGCGTTCAAAGAACATACTAAAAAGAGTCATGCTATAATAAAAGCAAATAAGAGAAACACAAGCTGTTATTTAATAACGTATATACAATACTTAATTCTATGCTTATGCAGATTGTATGTGTACAATCTGACACTTGATAAAATCTGCTTTTAAATGAAATTATTATAAATATGTAATACATTCAATTTTGCTAGAGACAGATAAAGATTTTACACGAGATGTGAAAACTTGAGAATACTCCTAATTTTCGAATCGTAACGTTCATACTTTGTATTCAGTACAATTGCTAGTACAGCACTTATGATAAAAAGATTTCTTATCGAAGTTCGTTAATGTTTCGCGGAATTCGTACAACAATTCCTGTCGTCGAAAGGAATTGCAAGTTTTTCTTCGTTGGAAACTCCTGACAAGCGTACCCGCGCAGCGTATCACACGTATACACACCTTCCGCTACTTAATTACACTTCATTTTATTTTCCGGATATTATCGCGGCTTCGAATCGGCCCTCGAAACTTCCGCGCTCACACATTTCTACTCGAAACTTCTCGTCCGTGTGTTTCTATCTGAACTCTCGACCAACGTGATACGTATTCCCACTTCAACGAGTTTGATTTCACGCTCTTTTTTTTTCAAAGCGTGCATACAATCGCAACTTGCTGCAAACTTACTCGATAAAACTCGCACTTCCCGTTCGCCTTTTTTCTTTCAGCCCGAGCTGATCGACGCTTTTCTTGCACGATTTTTCTTTCTTGGAAAGTGACGAGTGACTTTTTAACAGGGAGACGTTGTCTGATCTTGTAAAAATTATCTACTTATCACTTATAATATACAAATTATGTATTTCAATAATATTAGAAATATTATTATTAGGAATTTTGTCATTTCTTTTAAATATCATTTTATTACTTGTCATCTATTTTTATGTAGGCAGAATGTATTTTTTTCGTTTATTTCGTTGTTATATTATCAAATATTTGTGAAAATAATAAAAAAACATGTAACGTAGGCGGAGATTTGTTTAAATGTGACAACGAACATCGTGTTTTGGAAATTTTATATTTTCATGTGTCGTGTGCATTTTATGTATTTTTCTACTTTTGAATATGCAGAAAGAAAGTACGATAAAATATCCGAAGTATTTAGGTTTCATTTTTCTCAATTATAATCATAGAAATATAAAAATGCATAAAAATCCAGTGATGAGTAATAAAATTGAAGACATTAATTTCAATGATAATATCTATAAATGATATTTGTAATTTAAAAGGTCGAGAACAATATTTAATAATAGAGAAAAAAAGTCGAATACTAACAACTAAAATAAATTATCTAAAGATCGCAATATTTTTACCCAAACTTGGGAAAGAGTCTTCAATTGTGAACAGAGCTGAGCGACAATCCCTAAAGATTTCAAACATAATTTCCAAAATTTATTTGATCTTGTAAAAATTATCTACTTATCCACTTATAATATACATATTATGTATTTTAAAAATATTAGAAATATTATTATTAGGAATTTTATCATTTCTTTTGAATATCATTTTATTACTTATCATCTATTCTTATGTAGGCAGAATGTCATTTATTTCGTTTAACTACGTTTAACAGAGCGAAACTTAGAACTACTTTAAATTAAAGAAAAAAANGAGAGAGAGAGAGAGAGAGAGAGAGAGAGAGAGAGAGAGAGAGAGAGGGAGGCGCGTGCAAAGTTGTTTCTATCCGCAGATGGGATTGAAATTTCGTTTAGACCGAAGCAAGCATCGCTTAGATACTGTAATTACAAATTTCGCAAACTGTAAACATGCGTGTTTAAATTACGCATATTCGTGATGGACGTTGCGGCGCAGACGAATCGCAGAGAGTTGTTTATCTTTTGACAACCGAGGAAGAGTTAAAACATCACCTCTGAACTTCACCCCGGGGAAAGAAATTTGTATTACAAGTATAAATGCATTTGAAACGGTTTGGAAAATATCCTGAAGCAAGCAAAGGAGGACGCAGGAAAGAAGGATGGGGGGAGGTTGAAGTTTCATTTAGACGAGTATTACGTATTATAATACAAATGGCTCGTGAATAAACATTTCCTGCAGCTATAGTTAAGTTATGCATATTTAATGAACATCGTGTGGTAAACTGTATGTAAATCACACGAGGTATCGCTGTTGTATCTTCTGCGAAAAAAAAAAAGTAACAGTGCTTTCACCCTTTACACACCGACGAGGAAGAATTAAAATTCTTCACCACCGCGTTACAAAGCAAAAACATTAACAAGAGATCCCAGAGACTTTTTGCTGGAATTTTGTTGGAAAGGTCGGAAGAGAAAAACGGTCACGGAGGATCTTGACTCGGGGCACAAGACGTAGGAAAGCAAGAGGGTAGAAAGAGAGACGGGGGCGGGGAGATTGTCCTTTGAAAAAATAGAGGGAAATGCGGAGGGTAGCGTGTTTTCGATTGTGGAAGCAGGCGCGTGCCGGGGACATTTACGTAATTCCGTTCGACTGGCGGAACGATGGTTGAATTCGATTCGTGTCGGGCCGATGAGAGATTGCAACGTGATTCGCCGTCGGTGGAAAGGGGATGGAAATTAGCGTCAAGGATTAACGCGAGAATTGCATCGGGCGTATTCACGGTGAAGGGCGGCCAATCGAGAAAAGTGGCCGGTAAAATGTCCAATTTGTCACACGTGACACTTTTCTTGCCGCGGCGCGTCATCTGAATTCCAAACGTTCCTCCTTTTTTTCTGCTAAATTTGTCGTACGAACGTTCCACTATACGTATGTAATCGTTGTATCAAGTGTATTTTTTTTCTATCTTTTTCTCAAGAACTTTATTTTAGTGGCGTACAAATTTTACGAAGACTATGGCGAAACATCACAAATAAATTAATGTAGACCTTGCCAGAGAAATCGAGTAGAGGATTAGTTATTCAAAATGGGAAAGAGATACGTTTCCCTTGTTGTATTGAATCATGTCCAAAATTGCTGGTTTATATTTTTAAATGAATTAATATTATTTAAAATCAATTTACTGTATATATATATATATTTTTTTTTTTTTTGAGTTACGAATGAATAACCGAAGTTTCATAAACATAACTTTCTTTCTTTGTTAATATTGCTTCTAGACTGAGAATTAGAGGACATTACAGATAAATTCATTGAAAAATTTCGATAAATTATTATCGACAAGTTGAGACTTAGGACTAGTTTTTTTCTATTAGATATTACGTTTCACATTTATTTTTTTATTGTTGTTTGATACTTGATATTTAATACTCCATTTCAATTTCAATTATTCACCCACGATTAATAATACGTTACTCTGTTTTGAAATCACTTGACGAAAATAGCGCGACACTAACAGCTGCATTTGTACGAGCGCGTGTATAACAGAATTAGCAAATAAATAACGAGTTTACTCAGCACAAAGGTTTCATATGTCAAAGAAACGTAGTCAACGATTTAATCAATCCCTCCCCGAAGCGCAAATTTCCCCGAACGTTTTTGACAAATGCGTCGTGAATTTCAATTTCCGCATTTTCGCAGTAATCGTCGCGAAAATTTCATTTCGCAGCCGGTAACGTAACGAATATCCCCCAAAATATTAAAAAACAGTAGCGTCAGGCAATGAAGCCCGACACTAATGAAACTCGATCGTATATTACGTCGCCAGTAATTTTATCATTTCATTTTCTTTTTTTTTTTTTTTTATTGTCGGGCAAGTAATATACACAGCTTTTTAATCGATACAAAGAATACCGATTAACGTCGACTTATTAAGATTGATGAACGATAACACGTGCATTTAGGTACGCGCTTTAACTGACGTTTATTAAAAAAAAAAAAGAAACAAATAATTGCCAACTTCTGGCGTAACACAGTGTTGGAAAAGTATGAAAAATGGAACGTGTTCATGGATATTTCGTCGTGAATTCGAAAAGTATTCCAGACAGCTTGTTAAAAAATAATTCGAAACAAAGTTCAACTTTTAATTGAAATAAAAATTCTATTTCGAACAACAACGATTGCAATAAAAAAAGAAAAAAAAAAAAAAAAAAAAAAGAGTGGAATCCTGTTTCTTCTTTAAGTATAAAAATACGGGATACGGTTGCAGATGTTTCATTAAAATATCGTTCTATCGTTTTAATATTTCGACGATCGATAAACATGCTTTTAAATACAGAGAGGGAAAGGGGGACTATTTTATTTTTGAAAATCTGAATTATGCAACTTACCCAGCATGAAGGAACATATAAAACGCAAACCTCCAGAGCTCTAGACGTTTGTCCGGCCTGTAAATGAAAACGCTGTCGATCGGTACCGGCCCTGAAGGATTAACCTCTCCCATTGCCACTGTGTAATACGTGAAGAAACCCAGCTGCAAGCATAAATTAATGAAAATCAATTAACCGACTTTGTCGTCGAAATAATTTTTTTCCTTAAGAGCTCTTCTACGAACAACTGAAACGTCGTTGTTCCAACAGAAATAAACTCTATGACGAATAATTTATTGGATTGACATAATAACATTATTCACGACGAATCATGATCGTGTGTATACCTTTGCACAAAGAATAATTCATTTAATCTTCAATTCTTTGAAAAAGTACGTGTCTTCTGTCAAAAAGATTCAAACATTTTTATATCTTTCAATCTTTCCATGCTCCAAATAAATTCTATAACAATATATATTCATATTTCTCATGTTTTTTAATTTTTCAAGATTCATCACGCTAGTGTGAAAAAAGTGAACAAGTTGGCTACTCGTTACTAAGTTTTATATATCGATAATATTTTCTTATAAATTAATAATATTTTCTTCAATTTTTTCACGACAAGTGTACTACAAATTCAACGTTCAAAAATAAATAAATTTTTTATCAAACTGGCCACTCTTTGAAGATGTTACTTATTGGATACGCTTTCGAGGTAGAATGTCGTCCGTTCTTCAACCTAAGACGTATACTATTGTACATATATTCCTGGCCCTCGACAGGGAACAGAATCTTTCCATAAAAGGATATTGCGGGAATACAGAGTTCTGCGATTGGCCATTGCATTATACAAACTGTGCCTCACTTCACAACGATCGTCGATATTGCACGGAGATAGAATAGATCGGTCTTGTTCATACGTCAAACTTAAAAAGAGACACGCCATATTTCTTTTTCTTTCCTTTTTTCTTTTCTTCTCAAGTATTTATCGAAATTAAAATCACTATTTCTGCGCGTAATATATAAGTTTATTCGGCTGTAAACTCAGTTATCGTTATCGGTTTCCAAGAGATATTGTGGCAAGGGCGAAAGAAGATTGAATATGAAAAGAGAGGAGGAATGAAAAAGATATCTATAGATCCAATATCTTTTATAATAAATCCATCTAACAGAGGTCGTAACTTGGAGGAATATTTTATATTAGACGGAAGGTCCGTGTTTGGTGACATTTACCGGGATGATATAGTTTTTAACAAGGGTGCCGATGCAAATTTTCTGGGCATTTTTGTCGACTGATAAATTTCTCTGTTCAACTTTTCCTTTGTCATAATAAATTGGAATTTTTTAATTTCTCGTCCCGTCTATTATACGGAATTTTTTTGTCTAAACAAAATTTTCGCTGAGGAATTTTTCACCAAGAAAAAAAAAAAGTTAAATCGATAAACGTTTTGATGATATTTTCCAATCTATGCGGTCGCGCGACTTCCGTTCAATTCTTCGTCGTTGATTTGATGAATTTTGGTTGATTTTTAATAAATCCGTATCGATTCAGTCGCATTAATTTGGATCGTTTCCTTTTTTTCGAGTGCTTGAGTTACAATGTTTCAAACTTATCTCGTGATTTGAGTAACACCAATCTCTATAAATCGTGTTATTTGAAAATTCAACAAGACGAAAAATTTATAACTTTTTTCCTTTATAAATTAAGTATATATGAGTTATAATTATATATATATATATAAAAGTTTGTCAATTAAAACAATTAAAGCAGCCTACGTGTAAATATTTCAGAAGCATTACATATAATATCAACTCTTAAATTCTGTCATTACTTATATTAATTTACAAATTGGACCAATTTCAAAGACTCGTGTCTAAAATACAAAAACCGATCGTCATCCCTCAAAAAATAAACTCGTGGAAATAGGTAACTAAACACCAATATCCCATACTCGCGCGATGAAATTGAAAAATTCACAAATTGGACCGGAAATCTGAAATAAACGAACGAACGAACATGAAAACGTCAAAGAGACAAAGTAACGAAAGTAAAAGTACGAAGAGACAGAGCAAGACCCACGTATCGTTGTACAGTGTTTCAAAGCGAGGAGAAGTCTCGTGTGCCTCGTGCATTGTGACACGAGAGACACGAGTGACACACGCGACGTGCTAAGGACGTTTATTACGTCATAATGATCCGAACTACCGGCTTTCCGAGCAGCGAATGTAAACGGCTAAGAGAGGAGAGAACGCAGCGTACCTACACATCGATGGCGTGGGTGCGTGCAACACTGCCACGGCGACAAGCGGCGTGAACGAACGATATAAATCAGGGTTTGTAATATCACGTCGACGCCGATGTGCGCAACGCCCGTTTAGCTGTATTGTTTCTGTAAACGAGAGAAATATAACGGCGTCTGAGACTGTACCCGCAACATTTCCCTGGTGGCTCGACAACAATGAGTCGCGTCTTCAACAAATTACCAAGATGGGGGAGAGCGAGGGCTCGCGACTTGAACTTTCCCTCCCCTCGAGTTAACGAATTATTGTATTTTCGTTCCATAGCCGGGGAGCTTGGACTTTTTTGCGCCTCGAGAACGCTGGATGGAATTCAATGGGACCGAAACTTCCGCGGGAACTTGCTCTTTTTAATCCTTTTACGGTGGAACGTACGAGAGAGGAACGACGCCGGGAGTTTTGGAACTTGGTCTCGGGATTTATACGCTCGCGCACAACGTTATTCTAAAATTGTCTGATAAATAAATTATCGCGCGATAATTTGTCACGGTACACTGTAAGTGTATTTCAGTTTCTCCATTTTTTTGTAGAAAAAAACAAATTCGCAGATCCAATATTAAAAAGAGAGAAAGAAGGATTTGAAAAGACGTTAAAAGGAAAAATTAACATAATATTGTAATGAATAAAATAACAAAGTAATATTATAACAAATAATTAAATTTAAGATGCAATGTAAGACGAAACTCATATAAAAAACGATAGGACAAACAAATTTGACCAAAACTTGCCTTGCACCCTTCTGCCAGAAATACTTTGAACAAAAATTCATTCTATACCTGAGAATTACTCGTGAAGCCTCTCGTCTATACATAAATACATTTGTACACAGATAATTGTGCCGAGTTCTGTTGAATTTCTCATTTGTCATAACTTTCTTTTTCCCTTCTGCGACATCGTCGAGAGACATACATTGAACAGTTACATAACGATTCAATAGCTTCTCAACAACTGATTCCAACCACCGCTGACAAAACTTCGGTCGATCGAACAAGTAACCTAACTACGCGTAGGAAATGTGCGTTCAATTAACTCATTAACACCGTTTCATTATTATCCGAAATTGTCTATTTTGGGCGGCACGTTCGCGACAGCTGTAAATCGTTCGCTTTCAATTAAGCTCCTTTGATAATAACCGTGTCCCTAAACCAGACAAAGTCCTCTAATTTCAATGTTCGAGGACGCGCGTCTGACGTGTCCCTTTGTGCTAATGGAACAGAGAAATTCGCGAGAACACATCTAAGAATGGAAACTACCTTGGTTGGGCAGCTGGAAAAGTCTTGGAACCTCGTGGATTGGAATACACAGAGAGAGAGAGAGAGAGAGAAAGAGAGAGATCCAATATGAAAGAAGAGAGAGGAGAAAAAAAGACAACGCGAACAAGGAACGATTATTACAAAGGGAGAAAAAAGAAATTGAAATAGCACGTGTATATAGATGGAAAATAAAGAGTTTTTAATTATCAAGTAGCAGATTATTCTGAAATGATAAAAAAAAAAAAAAAAAAACAGCTGAGATTCGTGTGTATGTGAATAGTTCGAATTGTTTCTAGACATGCAAATGTGATTTTTATATTTCAATTCTTCTTAAATGAAAGTGTTAGGAAATGATAGAGTCGTTCCACTTGAAGCTATCGTAATTTCTATGACGATTGACATTTTTTCAAAATCCGTACTCGACGAAATCATTTAACATCTCTAGATTTTAACAAGAATCAAAACAGTGTACAATATTGAAAAAAAAGTTGGCATTACGATAGAGTGTAACATGGACTCTCGTAAGGAAAGAAAGAAAAAAATATATAGGAGATGGAATGAAAGGAGAGCAGCGAAAGGCAAACAGCAAAATGTAAGAAAAACGAAATGTAACGAGAGAGAGAGAGAAAGAGAAAAAACGGGAAGGAATACAGAAGTGGTTGTTGCAGTTTGTTGACGGTGGTTGAGAGTTTCTGAGGCGGGTCGTCTGAGACACAGAGGAATGCAAATGATTGCATCCAACTCGATACGCGAGAGAAGCAGAGAAGCTACGAAGTTAAAAAAAAAAAAAAAAAAAAGAAGAAGAAAAACCGAAAAAAAGAAGAAGGAAGAGAAAAGACGACTGTTTGAGATGCCTGGGAAAGTATACTCATGCGAGTGCACGTCGTACATCTGTTCAACATCGATGTCTCATACTTTGAGGAGCATTACGGGGTAATGCACGATTATTCGTTGAAATATGAAGGACGACAAAGGAAAGGGTCCAATAGTTCAAAGACTTACAGCGTTCTTCGAGAAAAGCAGAAAATATTACCACGTTATAGCGTGTTTGGGGATAATAAACGATGAAATTTTCCCGAAAACGTTGTATTTTAATATCAAAAGTATATTATAAAAGTTAAATTGTAGTTTATTACTATTTAGAAACGATTTCGATCACCACCTTTGTAAATTTAAAGGTCCTGTAAATATCGTTCATTCTTACAAATTTCCAAATACACTCTCAAAATCGAAGAGGTGGCGTTGATCCGTTTCACTCCCATCACGCGTATCGCGCGAACCAAACTGCAAATTTGGTTTGAGCGAATTTGCTACGAGCAAATTTTCCATGGTGAAAGTTTAAACTGGCGAATGGATATTGCGTCGGCAAACAACGTTTAATTCCCGACATCGTGTATCATTTACGTTTCCACCATAGTCTTACAGGTGAAATAAATTTCACGATCAACTTTGCAACAGTTACTGGGTTTGTTATGGATCTCGCGAGTATTTTGGCCGCGTGCCACACACTATGTTTAACAGCACTATGATGTAAAGTATAATATATGTGCAAATTTACCTGAAACAGCATATTGCAGAAAATTGTTTGTTTCGGCCATGCACACATATCATGA